GTGATTTAACAAACACAAAACCCTAAGATTATGTATATTATAGAGAAATTTAGCCTGATTTTTTTTTTTTTTTGACAAGAACAATGATTAGAGTTAAAAATTAATACCTTACTCTTTGTTAAGATTCCATAGATCAGGGTTGCAATCCACCGGCAACCCTGTTATGGTGCAGTGGCCACGACAGGAAATGCAGAAATTTAGCCTGATTGGTTGTAAAATCTGTGATAAACCTACAAGGCTATAACAAATTCTAATAACAGTTATCATTCGTGAAAATCCAAACATAGAAATCGTACATTTCCGTCAGCAGGTTTCTCATCAACCAACCAAATCGACAAACAAATACACAAAAACGAATTATTATGCATCATTATGTGCGTTTTGAACAAAAAATACTAATTAGAAAAAACAGTAACTACTAGAAAATTTTAGGCCGATTTGTCAGAAATCTGCCAAATAACGACAACAAATTCAAGCAACAATCATCATCTTTCAAAAGCAAAACCACGCAAATCATAGGAATCCTACATTTTCCGTCCGTAGGTTTCTCATCAACCAAACAGTACACAAAAAGTAATAGTTATGTGCGATTATGTGCGATCTAGGGAAACTCAATCCATTAGCTTGCAAAATATGTGGTTAATAGCTGAGAATTGAGGAAAGTTGTCGTTAGGTAGATCTGAGATTTTCGGATCGGGAGAGTTGAAGATCTTGGGGAAATTGAGAACAACGACGATTGGGATCCTGGCTCGAACCTTAAAGAAATATTTCGTTCCATAAGAGACATACCAAATCACCTGATAATTCGATGAAAAGAACTAAAATTACCTCATGAGGAGGGAGGATATAGGCATAGCACAGTTGTTAATCGGCGGAGAACTTCATCGAGGGTTTGCAGAGATCGGAGATTTCCTCAGCGTCGCAGAGAAGCGAGACGAGGAAGACACGAGGGATTTGAAAGTGGTGATCAGGTGACGGTGACAGCCCGGCTTAGATTCGACTAAAGGCCCAGTAAATTCTTTTTAGCCCATCAAGTCCTTTCAATTTCCCAGCCCCAAGTTTGAAAGCCAGACTTATATTTTACGAAGGCCCAATAAACTCTCTTTTGTTTGTTGCTGTTAGTCTGTTATCATTCTCGATTTACGTTGGCCTGCATGCTTCGTTTGGGCCCTTTTAAGTATACCAAAATAAATAGGCCCACCAACGGAGCTTTCGTAGAAATCAGAATCCAATCCAATCCAATCCAATCATAGGGCCATCCATGATCCATGATGCATGATCCATCTTGTTGTTTCTTTAGAAGTCATGGTGAAAAAACAAGCTGTAAAAGCAGCGCCTGATTTCTTATTAAAAAAAAAAAAAGAAAAAGAGAAAGAAAAGGAAAGCTTTATTTCTT